CAAGGTAGTTATACCGCCTTGTTGTGGAAAGAACCAATCAATCACAATGATGAATATCAATGGAGACCAATCACCTCGGAATCAATGATGACACAATGATTTTTTACCGAGGTTCACTTGCTTGCCGGCAAGCTAGTGCTCGTTGTGGCGATTCACTCATTTGGAGGTTTACGCGCTAATTGGCATCACACGCCAAACCCTTAATAGGGTGCCGCACAACCAACACAAGATGAGGATCACACAAGCCACGATCAATGTATTAGAGTACCTTTTGGCGCTCCGCCAGAGAAAGGTCAAGAACCCCTCACAATCACCACGATCGGAGCCGGAGACAATCACCACCCTCCGCTCAACGATCCACGCTGCTCCAAGCCGTCTAGGTGGCGGCAACCACCAAGAGTAACAAGCAAAATCTATAGCGAAACACAATCACCAAGTGCCTCTAGATGCAATCACTCAAGCAATGTACTTGGATCACTCCTAATCTCACAAAGATATTTAATCTATGATGGAAATGAGTGGGAGGGCTTTTGCTAAGCTCACGAGTATGCTATGTCATTGTAAAATGTGCAAGAGAGTGAGCTTGAGCCGGCCAATCGGCCATGGGGCTTAAATAGAAGCCCCCATGAAATAGAGCCATTGTACCCCTTCACTGGGCACTGATCGGGGTGACCGGACGCTCCGGTCCTACTGACCGGACGCTGCTCCTCAGCGTCCGATCGCTCGATGGCGGCCACGTGTCACCTGCTTCGAACTGTGAACGTCAGATTCCAATGGTCGAAATGTTGACCGGACGCTCCGACATAGTTGACCGGACGCTGGACCCTCAGCGTCCGGTCGTTTACAGTAAGGGTCAAAATCCTATTTTTGCCGATCAGACGCGTCCGGTCATGCTTGACCGGACACCGCCCAGCGTCTGGTGCTTAACCCTATTTACTGCGACGTCCGACAATTCGACCGGACGCACCTCTTCAGCGTCCGGTCGCTGAGTGACCCAGCGTCCGGTCAGTAGACCGACGACAGCATCATTGCGACCAACTCCATTTCACCTCTAACTTCTTCACCCTTGCTCAAATGTGCCAACCACCAAGTGTATCACCTTGTGCACATGTGTTAGCATATTTTCACAAATATTTTCAAGGGTGTTAGCATTCCACTGGATTCTAAATGCATATGCAATGAGTTATAGCATCTAGTGGCACTTTGACAACCGTATTTCGATACGAGTTTCACCCCTCTTCATAGTACGGCTATCAATCCTAAATGTGATCACACTTTCTAAATATCTTGATCACAAAAAAAATAGCTCCTACAAATATATCTTTGTCTTGTGCTTTTTGTTTTTCTCTTTCTTCTTTCTAAGTCAAGCACTTAATCATTACCTTGATATTACCATCATCATGATGTGATCTTCATTCGCTTCAAGACTTAGAGTGTCCTACCTATCTTGTAATCACTGGATAAGGTAAGTTACCACGTAGGGTTTATCGATTCACCGAAAAGGGCTTTCACCGGCCCGATGGCCATATATAGCCTCGGGTAACTCCGCCCGCACTACGTTTCCCCTTCCGGCAAAAAAAAAAAAAGGAAACTGCCCCGTGCAATCAGCTCATCGGGCGATCTCGTCCCCGGTCGCGCGCGCCTCCCCTGGTCTCTCGCGACACCCACCGCACCGGTTGCGCCGCCGCCATCTCTCCTTCCTTCCCTCTCGCCCGCACACCCGGTGGCCGCGTCGTCACCGACGCCAGGACGAAGCAACCCGGCCGTGCCGCCACCGACGCCAGGACGAATCAACACGGCCGCGCTGCCGCCTCGTCAACCTAGACGGGCAGCCGCCGGACGCTGACGCCGCCGGCGACGGGCCGCCGTCGGACGCGCGTCGGACGGACCGCCACCTAGACGGCTCCGAACGCGCACCCGTCTCCACTCCGCCTCGCCCGCCTCGCGTTCTCCGCGAGCGCCGCCGCTAGACTCCCGCAGGTGGGGTGCCTTGGCGTGCGATGCTGCTGCTGTAGGCGTTGATGGGCATGAGGTGCATAGAGCCGCGTGCTTTAGGTGCTGCGCGGAGCCTTCTTCCCAGGAGGAGACACCCACAAGATCGCCCCCATTCGCGTCTGCTGGGCATTTCCATGAGCAGCTGTTCTTTCCTTTTCTCTGCCAGGTGATTTCTCTACATTTTCGTCTCCTCTCCCCCGATCTGGTGCTCCTCGAATCCCTGCAACACCAACGTCTCCTCTCTGACTCGATTCTTTTTGCAGCAGTGATTTCTTGGCGAAGCTATGTAGTGATTTGTTGGCGAAGCTGTGCACACAGGCAAGTGATTTCTCTCTCCCGCTTCGATTTCCCTTGAAATCGAATCCCTCACTTCAGCATCTCATTTGTGCAGCCCCAACTGGTATTCCTGCATTTTACTAAACTGCAGTAGTCTATTGAATTGGTAAAATAGGTAATCACAAATGTGCAGTGCTTTGCCTTTTCATTAAGTACTTAACGATTGGTCTCTCTTCATCTATGTTTCCCCTTAGTTATCTGGTGGCTTATGGTTTATTAGTTACTGTACTTTGTATACAAGAAAATAGAAAAGACTTGCTCCCGGGATTGGATGACCTGTATAGTCAGTGTCAGAGTCAATCTCATTTCAAGTAGCTCGAGCATGTTTATGTTGTGTTTTAATTAGCCATTTGTCCCTAGCAATGTCCTTATCTTGTTGAAGAAAAGAAGGAATTTTTTATGGGGGTTAAATTATTAAAATAAGAGTTCATTGTAGCTTCATATGAGGTAGTTGTGCAGCTCAGAAGTGCCAATAGAGATGGATTCTGTATTGAGAGTTTCAGACATGGGCAGTAACATTGCATGTTGTTTCTCTGTCCTATGTGAGTTACCAAAATGATTTCGGATATGAAAAAGGGGTCTATTCAGATGCAGTTTGATTGCACTAAGTTGTACTAAAAAGTCACAAACGATATCGTCCATCCGGCTCCCCTTTGCCCCGCTCGCGACGATGCCCTCCAGCGCTTCGCTCGCAGCTCGCTTGATTACTTTTTATATGAGGTAGTAATTGGAAAAGGGTACCATGAAGCTATGAAAACAAGTTTGCATGGAGAATAGAAATTATATATAAGAGCATAAGTCTTATCCAGTGGTGCCTACCTTGACTGAAAATGAAGCCCCAGTCTGTGCCTGCCTTTGGGTTTGTGTTATCAGGCGTATTGCTGCGTAGCAGAAACCAATGTGACAATTATGGACGGGCGGGCATTGTAAGATGCTTGTGATGTTGAAAAAAGGAGATATAGTAGCTGTTACCCTATTGTAACTTTTTTTGTTTTTGAAAAATACTGTTGAACATTTTGGAGCTCCTGAGTCCTGATCAATCTCTGTTCATGTACATTTGTCACCAACAGCATGCGTGTTTGCAGACTGTAGGTGTAATCTGATATTGGGTTATAAAATGAAGATAACTTATGAGCCTAGCTGAATTTATCACATATGACGGCGATGGCAACGTCGTCCTTGCCGTTAAGTGCCTCAATCAGCACATCCTTCATGTCTACTATTTGCTTTCTTTAGCTTCTCCTCTTCAAATCCTTTTTTGAGGAATAATCAGAGTTCTTAATACTTAGCAAAACAACAATTTTGTGGAGTCCATACAAATTTACAGAGTAATTTGCACCTAAGCATTTTAAATATAATTGGCACTTTCATCTAACCACATGACATATGCTTTCAGCTGGTTGCGTAGTTACTACTGCACTTAGCCTGATGCAGCATGAATGATATGGTAACTTATTTTTTTGTCTGTGTCATTTCGGGATAATTTGCACCATGAGTATCTGGGATGATTGCCTTCAACTTAAATAGCTTCAAGCTGATACGAAGATCCATATGGTGCTTATTTATGGTGGCAGCAGTCCTGCTTACAACCAGGTGATCCAACCTAACCTTTATGAAAATCACAAATCACATATCTGTGACTGCAATGTATTATTTTTCTTTATTAGCATAATCTTTTTTGGCAGCCAATGATATATGGCAGACGACCAGCACCGGCAAGAACGAGGATGATGCCGATGGTGCTTCACGATGGTCGCCTTGACCTACCCTATAAGACATTCTCTACAATATCATCGAAGCTCAATGTATGTTGAGCACATATCTGCACTTTGTGACAGCATGTTTTGCTGTTGACAGGCAACAACCTTGTGGAATGCCACCTTTGCATCCACTGTGGAGGGGTGGCGACCGAAGAGATAGTGGCAGAAGTGGCGAAGGGCACAGTTGTCGATATCACCCTTACTAGCTTTTCCCTTGTGAGCTCTACTCCCATCACTCCATGTGAAGCATTTGTATGAGATGAGATAGGAGCCTGTGTTATTGTCCCAGTATAAGGCCTGCAATGGGAGGATGCTTGTACCATCTGTTTTTTTCGTTAACTTATTTTATCATGCAGTGCATGTGACTTCAAACTGTGATAACCTTGTATTGCTTGCTGCCTTCTGGCACCTATAGTAGTGAACTGATCAACAAAGTACCTATTGACTGTGAAGCTTTGTTGGCTTTGCATGGGATAAATACATGTGGACTCTAAGCTTTGGGTTAAAATTCTTATTTTGCGAGATTTTGTGCAGCTTAAGATTGGAGCGTTGTTGGCCTTATTTCACAACAGAGAATTCTTGACAAGTTTGAGCGTTCTTGTACTGAAATTTGGTCTTCGTGATCCAAGCCTCTTGTTGACAGAGGATTTATGGATAGAACAGAACAAATTGAAGCCCAAAGAAAATAAGAATTGTTGATCACGGAGACAGAAAGAAAAAAGATATTTTTTCTCGTTGCAACGCACGGGCATATAGAGCGTGGATTTTCTCTTTAGAGGTTTAGTTGCGCACCCACCCACAGGGTCCGCCCTCAGTCACTAAACCGGCGGCGCCTCAGACCCACGTGACTCCCCTCATCCACTCGCGCTCCACCCGAGCCCTCCCTCAACCTCCGACCCCGAGCATCCCCTACCCTCGGTGGCGCGCGACCTCCTCCACCCGGCGCGGCCTCCTCCACCCGGCGCGGCCTCCTCCACCCGGGCGCGCCTCCTCCACCCGTGGCGGCGCGCTCCTCTCCCCGAAGTCCGGCGCCAGCGCGGCCTCCTCCACCACGGCGTGCCTCCTCCAACCGGCGCGACCTCCTCCACCTGCGCGCGGCTCCTCCACCCCGACGCGCCTCCTCCACCTCGACGGTGGCCATGGCCGCCTTCCCGTGGTGGATCCATGGAGCACTTGCCTTCCCGTGGTGGATTCATGGAGCACGACGCACATCCGGCGGCGTGGTGGTCTCCTCCACCGGTGTGGTGGCCTCCTCCACCCAGCAAGCGACGGTGCCCTCCCCATCTCCTCTACCTCCCCCACGACTGGCAGATTGTCAGTCCTAATCGGATGACTAACCACGATTAGTCGGTCCTAATCGCGACTAACTACTCTTCATCCTCCGGTAGCTGCTGGGTGCGCAGCTAAACCCCGTTGCACGCCAATATTTTCGATATATATATATATATATATATATATATATATATATATATATATATATATATATATATATATATATATATATATATATTCTAACTAGAAGTTCTATAAATTTATTAGCAGGAAGACATGTTTGATTTTTAGAGCTTCCCGATGGCATTTGTAAGTATTGTTTCATTGAATGAATAAGGGCTAGTTTAGCTTATAAGTCATGACTGAAAGAACTGTTGGTTGGTTTGATGTGAGAGAAAAATATTGTTCGTTGGCTGATAAGCTATGGTTTATAAGTCAAATACGACAAGCGAACAGACTGAAAGACAATGCTCCACTCAAAAAGAAAGAAAGAAAGAGAAATTGGCTTTTTATTGACACACAGAAACAAGCATCACAAAAATTATATGCAAGAATCAAACATACTTTACAAAGTTTAAGTTGGGAAAACTTTTCTAAAACCAAATTTTTCATTGTTATCGAGACAGGCAACAACTAACTGATGTTGGGCAAATTTTATATGAACACTAAATCATTAGTTTTATTTAGTGTTTTATATTTACTAACAAAATAGAAAAATTTAAGGTCCGCGTGAAAACTCAGGTCCTCTTTGGCAGGGCTTTAGGTTAGCATAGCGGGGACAGCAGGCCAGACATAGCAAACGGGAAGTCGTCAAGGATAGAGTAGGTCGGGGGGCAAGTGTCCAAAGCACGTGTTGTAACGAAGGTGACGTATTCCCTTTGTCTCAAAATAAACACACGTCTGTTTTTGTGAAGAGTCAAACCTTTTAAAAATTTTCTAAATATATATTTAGAAAAATACTGAAATTATAGTGCATAATAAGTATCATTATATTGAGCATGAATTTTTTTTATAATAAACTTATTTGAAGATATAAATATTAATATTATTTTCTATATTTTTAGCTAAACTTAGAAAAAAATAACTTCTCGAAAAGCGAGATATACGTCTACGCCTTGTTTAGATGCCATCCAAATTCGAAGTTTTTTCACTCTCTCTCCATCACATCAATTTTTAGCCGCTTGCATGGAGTATTAAATGTAGGTAAACAAAATAACTAATTACATAGTTTAGTTGGAAATCACGAGATGAATCTTTTAAGCCTAGTTGGTCTACGATTGGACAATATTTGCTAAATAAGGCGAAAGTGGTACTATTTATCAGGTTCACTTTTTTTGCAAAGTGAACGAGGCCCTATTTTGGGATGGATTGAGTGAGGTCAAAGACAACCTGCTAGCCTGGCCACACGATAAAGATCTAGCAGCTCTCATCGGTTGCCAAAGAGAAATAGAAACGAAAACAGCAAAAAAAAAAAAAACTATCATGGAAGGGATCTCCATTTTTTTACTCAGAATTTCGAATTTCGTTGGGGGCTGAGAAAGAGAGCACGGGGGGTTCGCAACGACCAACTGGGACATGTTTGGATTTAGTGACTAAAATTTAGGAGGTGTGTCGGAAGAATGTTGCATGGGGTATTCGGATACTAATAAAAAATAAATTACATAATCCGTCAGTATTCTACGAGATGAATTTTTTAAGGCTAATTAATCCTTCATCAACACATGTTTACTGTAGCACCACATTGTCGAATCATGGACTAATTAGGCTTAAAAGATTCGCCTCTAAATAAATTAGTCGTAAACTATGTAATTAATTTCGTAATTAACTTATATTTAATACTCTATGATGTGCAGCCAAACACCCCCTTATATAAGTTGAACTACGGCTATACGGCGACGGTTATTTAGTCAGCAACAACAGCAAGGGGAAATAAAATCCCCGACCCTTTCTTGTTTCGGCAAATTTAAATCGTCCCCTTACCCCAGCCCCCCTGTGATTCTTCCAATTTACCCCTAACAAGAACCATGGCGGACGACGATCTCGCCACCCAGGGCGCGACTTCGCCGGGAGGTGGCGCGAGCAGGACAGGCAGGACGCCCCGTCGCGTGGTGGATCGACTCCCCGCCGAGCAAGGCGAGAGGATCGCCGCGCTCGTCCGGGAACTGCGCGGCGGGCGCAACCACGTCGCCGTCGATGCCTCCGCCGCGAGCTACGCGGGGCTGGACAGCGGCACCGCGGCTCACGACGCTGTGGTCAGAACCCCCGTGGAGTTCAGCTCTGTTGCCGACCCTGGCGTTTCGAGCTCTGCGGGGAAGGCGCATGACGTCCCCGCGGTCGGCAGCGAGAAGCAGCGCGAGGACGACAACGGAACCGCGGCTCACGACGCCGTCGTCGGAGTCCCCGTGGCAATCATCTCTGCTGCGGCCCCTGGCGTTGCGAGCTCCGCGGGGAAGGTCTCCTCCACCGTGGCGGTCAGTCTCGCCACCCAGAGCACGACGGCGCAGGGAGCTGGCGCGAGCGGGAGGATTTGCACGCTCGCCGACCTACCGGACAGCGGGCTCCGTCGCGTGGCGGATCTACTCCCCGCCGAGGAAGGCGAGAGGTTCGCCGCGCTCTTCCGCGAATTACGCGGCGGCCCCAACCACGTCGCCGTGGAGTTCTCCGCCGCCGCCTACGCGGGGCTGTACAACGGAACCGCGGATCATGACGCCGTGGTCGGGATCCCCGCCGAGCTCAGCTCTGCTTCGGCCCCTGTCGTTCCGAGCTCCGCGGGGACGGTCTACTACACCGTGGCGCAAGACGGCCCCGGCAGCAAATCGAAGGAGGGCGAGGAGGAGGAGGGCGAGGGGGACGGGATAGATCGCCTCACCGACCTCCCCAACGACGTCCTCTCCGACATCGTTGGACGTCTCCCGCTCGTGGAGGCTGTTCGTACCCGCGTTCTGTCACGGCGCTGGCTCATCCTTCCGACCTGGCGACCGCGCCAGTCGCTCGCCGCTGCGCTATTTGCTGACACGGAGAATGCCGACAGCGACGGCGACGAGGACGCCATCACAAGCGGCGTCGCTCTCCACCAGGCGGATCGATTCAGCGAGTTACCGGACCACGTCATCTGCTCGATACTCTGCCGTGTGCCTCTGGTCGAGGCCATCAGGACATGTGTGCTGGGGCGCCGTTGGCGCGAGGTATGGACATGGTTACCCTGTCTCAATTTTGATGACATGGCCGTGGGAGATGCTGGCGTCACGAGCTTCCTCAATTTTGTCGACGAAGTGCTCGCGAGGTGCTCGGACATGAAGGTCCAGCGATTCATGCTGAGGGTAACCAACCCCGACAACGTCGACGGCGCTCGGCTCGCGGCATGGAGTGCCCATGCCGCGGAGCGCGTCAGCGGTCGTGTCATGTTCAAGCTGGATCTCGGAGCGGACTTCTTGCAAGGTGAAACAGTGTTTGAGATGCCAAATCAGGCACTGGCGGACTCTTTCAGTGTCTCCATATCACATCCCGAGGAGATCGCGTTCATGGTGCGCCTCACCGCCAATGGTCAGTTTGCTCTATTGACTCGCCTGGTTCTCGTTGGGACAAGGTTCAGAGCTGACGGCGGGAGGTCAATTAGTGACGTTGTGTCCCATGACTGCCCCCTGCTTAATAGCCTCCGGCTGGAGGACGTGAGAGGTGTCTTCTGGCTTCGCCTTAGCTCATCTTCCTTGATAGAGCTGACAGCCATGTTCGTGAGTGATCTGACAGAAGTGAAGCTTGAAACACCAAAACTGAACCACGTCCACTTTGCGTACTCCTTTGTTGGCAAAGAAGCCACAACACTATCGGTCTTTAAGCACCAACTTACGGAAGTCGTCTGGAATGACACTTGGCCTGTTCACAGTGACCTTGGAACAGCTGTGAGCCTTGAAAAGCTCACGGTCCATCGCCAGAACAACTCACAGAACCTGAAGAGGATCATTTCCCAGTTCAGATTAAGAAGTGTGAAGACCCTTTGTGTTAGTGTTTCAACGGATGAGGTAATTACATCTGAGAAGGCTGATCACTAGTCGTTTAGTTGTGCGTGTTTGTTCTGTGGGAGCTGACATACCTCTTTATGTTTGTTGGTGGGCTTATTCGCAGGACATTGAGGAAGTGAAGACTGAGGTTCACTCTATGAGGAAACCATGACACTGTAAGCTTGTGATTCAGATGTCCGAGAATGAAGATTGATATGCTCCAAGAGGACTGGTGAGGTAATTACATCTGAATATGTAGGCTAACTATTAGTTCTTTAATTGTGCTTTGTGTGTTCTGTGGGAGCTGACATTCTTTAATTGCGCTTTGTGTGTTCTGTGGGAGCTGACATAGCTCTTTATGTTTGCTTGTGATCTTTCAGCAGGGTATTCAGGAGGTGTTTGTATCCGGCGAACAAAACCCTGTCAGGGTTTCTGTAGAGATGTTTCAGCAGCACTTCTAGTTTTGACACATTGTTTTGTAGCAACAATAGGAAATGCATTTGTTGGTAGGAAATGAGAAATGCTTCTTGTCGAACTGTTTTCTGGGAAGACATGGATTCAGTGCATCTGTGTCTCAAAGTGCTTCAGATATACACGACTGTTCTGTATTTTTTGGAATCATACTGTGAAGCAAAACCAATGAAACAAATTGGAATGAAACCGGATTTTGCTGCTCTGTGTGTAATGCAACTGTGTATTATGGGCATTATATTGCTCACCGCGAAGAAATCTTGAGAAGAAGAAATCCATTGACTACCGGCAGCCAAGGTCCCAGGCTCCCAGTAGTAATTCAGAGTAATTTTTTCACACATAGACACAGAGTAATTCACTGCACATACTGAGGTCGGTTCCTGATCCATGGAACAGATAATCTCCACAGGTCATATGCCGCCAATTCTGATCATTGTTCCATTCTTTGGTCACCTATCCAGTGCGGGAATCGTTGCCGTCTTGCCGACTGGCTCAAATGAATCATTTGCTGTATCAGAAGCATTCCGATGCAACCCAGTCTCGAGTCATCCGGCATCGCATTGGTTACTTTGCCAATCGAGTGTTCGATCTGAAGCTCCCAGCCTTGTCTGGCTCTGAATCTCCGCGCACGCCCAACAACCTGTTGAAGTCCAGTCTCAGCTTAGTCAAAGAATCAAACACCTCCAGGCTCCAGCGGACGCTGGAGCATGATGGGGTCCTTCTTGGCATCAGCAACTGCACGGCCAAACCTCAAGAAGTCAAGAACCCCGGCTTGTGCAGCCACCTCCTCCTTATGCTGCCCAGACACCTTGGCACAGAGCTGCCGCTCCGACTCGAGGAGACGGGGAACCACTGACTCTAATGCCGCCGCCACAACTCAAGAGCAGGTCCCGATGCCTGCGCGTCCTGACTCCTGAGTCGGGTCGCGCAGGTACTCGAGGCCGAGAGCGCCAAGGCTGGCACTGACCACACCCCGCGCGCATTCGATACAAGCGGCCACGCAGCGGTCTTGCCTGCTGTTGGCCACGAGGCGATCAAGAATGAGGGTGAGCCTGTGGACGGCGGCGGCAGGAAAGCGGACGGCACGGCGCACGGCGGCGCCGGGCTGCGGCGGAACTCGGCCTCGATAATACCCATGGCGGCGGCCAGGAGCCCGTCGTCGATGTCGCCGGCGGGGGGGTGTGTGCCTTGAGCTCGTCGAGCGTGACCCCGAGGTCGGCAAGGTCGCGGTCGCCGAGGTACTGGACAATGTAGGCGAGCCACTGCGCGGCCAGACCGCAGTTGTCGGCGAGGAACCTATGCGCCTCCTCGAGCTGGGCCAGGACGGCGAGGTAGCCGGGCAGGTCCCCGGCAGCGCCGGAGTTTGCGGCGGCTCGAGGCCGTGCACGGCGTCGAACACCTTGAGCACGGCACCGGCGGGTCCCACGGTGCGGTCGATGTGGGGCCCGGCGGCGGCGAGCGGATCTGGCGCACCGCGGCCTCCAGCTCCGCCTAGATCCCCTCGGGCCAGCACGCGGCCCAGGGCGCGGGACTTCTCCACGCCGGACTGGAAATATTTTTTAAAAATACAAAAAATATAAAAAATAGATTTTAAAATTTTGTCTAAACATTTTATCACAAAATAATGCAATTAAAAATCTAAAATTTTGGTTTAATTAATCTTAAAAATATTATAGAAAATTATATTGACAGTAAATTATAGGATTTTTTAGTTGCTTTATTTTCTAGGTAAAAATATTTAGATAAAATTATTAAGTTTTATTTTTTATATTTTAAAATATTTTTAATCTAATTTACCTCCCTAAACTTTTCTAGGGAGTCGTCTATGTTTTATTATATGTCTGATGACAAATACATATTCTAAGACTAGACACATATCTAAGTAGGACTGAATCTATTTGGAGTACAATACTATCCTAAGGCTCTCTTTGGAACATAGGACGGGGAAGGTACAGTAATAAAATGGACGGGAAGGTACAGTAATAAACCGGCTGAGGCGACCTATGCTATAATAGTAACAAACGATACAAGGTCAAAACGAGATACTTGTATATCGTATATTTTATATTATCTTTTGAGATGGGTAAATAAATAGGTTTGCTGTTCAAATTCTGTGTCACTCTTTTTTTTCCAAGCGACCTGATCTCTCCTAAAATGTACTCCATCCGTCTTATAATATAGGGCATTTTAAAAATTTTAAGACAACTTAAGGAAACACTCAAATGACGCATGTACCCAAGCATTACACCAATTAAGGACTTTCTCTTCAAACTATGGTTTCCATTTAAACAAACTTTGCCAAATCTAGGTATAGTCATTATATAGAATGCACTATATTTCAGTATAGATTTTAGAAGTCACGATACACTATCAGCCTGTTCGGCTGGGGCTGAAACGATCGTATACGATCGTGGATTATTACTGCTGGCTGGTTTGGTGTGAGAGAAAAATATTGTTCTGGCTGGAAATTTACGATTGTTTACGACCAAGCGAACAGGCTGTATATTTCAGGACGAAGGGAGTAGTGCATTAGGGGAACAAGTAGGTAATGTTTACTTCAATAAAAATATGTGATTATTTTGTACATGGAAATTAATTCATGTACTTGCCATATTTTGTATGAGGAGACTGAGAATTCACCTTTTAATTATGCGCAATAGAATCATATTTCAATATATTAGGAAGTACATGCGTCTATTGCGCTCTCCTTTATTTTGTCTGAGAATGACCATAATGCACTATATTTCAGGACGGATGGAGTAGGCGACAGTGATGGATACAAATTCGGATTTTTTTTCCCAAGCGACTTAGGGGATAGTGACAGATACATAATCGATTAAAGGAGGGGCTTACATTTTGGTATTTCAGTTTTGCTATGTGCCTAAAGCATATGTCTAGATATATAGCAAAGGAAGACTGTGGTAAGGCCACAAAGTTGTGGTCAGCCTGCTAAGGCCCAAATCCAAAAATACAACAAGCATTTCCAAATCCAATTTGTGTATATAGATTTCAAAAATACAATGGGCTGTTCCAACCAAATAATTTTTTTTTTTTGAAGCAACCAAATAATAAATTTTAAAAATACAGGAGGCTGGTCAGATAAAACTTGCTGATTTAGGTCATGATGAGGCCCATGTCGACAATAATAAGTAGTAGGCCCATTAACCGTCCGAGTTGGTAACGGATCCATCCGCACTCACGATATAAGAACCGCGGCCACGCCTTTCAAGAAAAGCAAAACAAAACAAAAGAACCGCGGCCACGAACACGGCGAATTGAAGCCTTGAAGACCATCAACCATACGATCGGAGTCGTTGGTGGTGGATCACCGATCATGGGCACAGATCACGGCGACGTCGATCCCGGAGCCGGAGCCAGAGACGAGGCGGCTGATCCTGACCGCATCAGCTACCTCCCCGACCACCTCCTCCACGACATCCTGATCCGCCTCCCGGGCACCGCCGACGCGGCGCGCACGAGCATGCTCTCCCGCCGCTGGCGCCGCGTCTGGGCTTACACCCCCGTGATCTCCCTCCACTACAGGTGCGAGTTCGAGCCGGAGTCCCCGGGCGGCCGCGTGCCCGACCGTGTCGACGCCGCCCTGGCCGCGCACGCCGCCGGGGCTGGGGCGACGACGTCGACGGTCAGCCTCAGCCGCCTCGAGATCACCCTGCCGTTCGAAAGCTCGACCCACCTGAGCACGGACCGCATCGCTGCGTGGCTGCACGTCGCAGCGCCGCGCCTTGCGGGGGAGCTCCGGATCACGCTGCCGTTGTGCCTCCGCAGCAGCGCCAAGGACGACGGCGACGGCGAGGTCCTTCTTCCCTTGTGCGAGAAGGCCACGTCCATCAGCCTCGACCTGAGCCATCGCACCCTGCGGTTCGCGCTGCCCCCCGCCGGCGGCGTGTTCAAGGCGCTGGCCACGCTGACGATACGGTCTGCCTACCTGCACGGCCGCGAGCTGGAAGCTGCCGTGTCGTCGTCTCGCTGCCCGTGCCTCAAGAAGCTCGTGATCGATTGGATCATGCTGCAGCAGGACGACGGCGACGGCGACGGAGACGGAGACGGCGACGGCGACGGCGACGGCGACGGCGACGGCGACGGCGACGGCGACGGAGCTTGCGACCTATCCATACGCTCCGACTCACTGGAGTGGCTCGAGATCTCCTACGCCGTGCGACTCAACGGCCGGCTCCGTGTCCACGCCCCAAATCTCCAGACGTTTCATCCGTGCATCAGGTGTGACTTGTGCATGCTTGCCCCGAAGCTCTCGGAGGTGCGCTGGAGCAGCGGCCATGCCTATGACTCCAGCCGCCATCATCTCGCACGCGCCGGCCACCAACTCCGCCGCCTAGAGGTAGAAGCCGATTCTTCTGGCTTCGCTTTGATGCGTCAGTTCAACACGGTTGAGGAGCTGCACCTCACTGTAAACCTTACGAGGGTATGGCCTTACACATTTTTTAATTTTTGTATTACTATTACTACTAGTATGAAATTCATTTTGAAGCCTTTTAGAGTGTCATGACATACAAAACTACCATATAATGAATGTAGAGTGTCATGTAGCGGTGGCGTGGAAAAGATAAAGAGTGGTTAAATCTATTGGAGCTTTAATTTCTGGTTTATTTTCTATTTTTTGTAATAAAAGGCCACGTATTGAACCTTCTGTAGATGCTCTCTAAGAGGCTAAAAATAGATAAATTATAAAACTTTCAAGTAAAAAAATCTAGTCATTGAGTTTTGTAGGGTTAGGAAGATACAATATTATAGGCATGTTTGGATGAGGAGCCTACAAGAAGCTAGGCCAACCTTTAGTGGTTGACCATGATCACAAGGATCGTTTGTATCTTGGCCCTGACTTGGCCCGTTTCTTGTGCCCACAAGCCAAATCAGTTCTTATAACCTACAAGATATCCTTTAGCTTCCCTTCCTTTCTCACGTCTTATTTCGTGTCTTTGCAGGGCGTAAAAGAATACGAGAGATTTCTGAAATGCACAGGTACACTTGCCAGGTGTAAGGTTTTGCTGGTAAAATTTGTGGAGATAAAGCATGGCTTTCAGCTCATTATGCTACATTTTCTCCGAAAATGTGCTGGCATACGAAAGCTTGTGGTGCAGTTGAGGGCAGTATGGTACGTACATGCATTCCAATAAAAAGTCTCTACTTTTGTTTAGATAGATAATACTCCCTCAATTTTAAATTATAAGTCATTCTTAGCTTCTTAAGATTCACAAGAAAAGCTATGTGTCTAAAAGTTAGAACAACTTACCCTTAAGAAGGGAGGGAGTATAAAATATGGTTTGCTCAGAGGTAGCTACCAATATTTACTTCAAGTTAGTAGTCTTTTCAAAATTTTAAAATACATTTTAATTCCTTTCCTCAGGATGGCTACCCCTACCCGTGCAAGGTGTCATCGGGATGTCCATGTAGCCGACTAGAGAACTGCAAGACACAGAATGTTGTGTTGGATTCACTTGAAGAAGTTGTAATAACCGACAATGGATATGTTGACCATAAAGCTGAACTTGTGAGGCTATTGTGCCGATGCAGCACAAGATTTCACAAAAAGGTGGCCATTACCGTCTTGCATAGTGGACGAACAGATGATCTCCGCAACAAGATTTTTAGTATTTGTCCTCTAACCAACAAAACTGAAATCACCGTACGGACGGTCCACATGAGCTGACTTTATGTTCTTACCAAGCTGTGGTCCCGTGAATCTGATTTATTTGCCTAATCCGAAGCAATAAACTTTTTTTTATTAGAACACGATGTGCTTCTGGACCCATAATAAGTATATACATTGTATTTTGTCTTTGAAGAAAAGAGAGTTTCGTTGATTACTCAGAAACATGTTTATCATATGTTCAAGTAGTAATCTGCTCACTGCTATGTTTTGGTTTTTCACAAACAGACATAAATTGATAAATGTATTCTAGAGGACGCCTTTGGAAGATGGTCTCTATCAATGATTCTTAACGGTGTTGGTCCAGCGTACGCCACCAAAAATGGTGTTGCCAGTCCTGTCTCTGAAAATCAAAAAGAAATCCAGCTGGAGCTCGTATGCCACCAAAAATGGTGTTTTTACTCCCGCCTCCGAAAATAATAATTAAAAAAAAACTAGCTGGAGCTTGAGCTCTAGAAAAAAAAAGACATCCAGCTCTGCTCTGGAGTCTAGCTTCCGCCATCACAACCACGGCTCCTCGTGGACTTCGGGTACGTCCGATTTATTTGCCTAATTGGAAGCAACAACTGTTTTTTTATTAGAACATGATGTGCTTCTTGTCAGTATATTGCATTTTTCTTTTTGAAGAAAAGACTGTTCCATCTATTACTCAGAAACATGATTATTATAATTTTACTAGTATAATGCCCGGACTAACACTACGGCAGCAATAACTAGATAAATCAAATAACTAAAAGGCACATATAGATTTCATATTTTTAACTGAACTGCAATCTGCAATCTCAGCATTTCTTCAACATCATTATTTCTCACTTCAGTTCACCAGATGAATAGTTTGTTCGCTCTTCAGTTCATCTGATGAATATGAAATTCTGCAATCAGGTTGAGTTCTGCTAACAAAAGCTTGCAGGATTTCGATTTCTCAAGGAGAAGAAGAGAGAGTAACAGGTTTACAACAGCTTTACCAGAATCGAGCAGAATTATCACCTCACGGCTTCCACAGAAGAGAGTAACAGGTTTAAAACAGCTTCATACACACACCAGATAGTTTCAAGAAATTCGAAATTCATCTTTAGTCAAAATTCAGCATTGTCTTCCTTCATTGCCTGCATCATTTTTTTGTCAAAAAAAAATCAAGAAACAACCACATTCTACATAATCTCTAAACAGGAGAAAATAGTCTTTTAGGGAGGCTGCTGGTGGTTTGACAGAGTCACAGAACAGAACAACATCCTACAAAACGGCAATCCTTAGTTGAAGATAATGGAAATACCTCTCCCTCTTAGGGTAGCGCAGTTGAATGCCAACCTCCAGAGTACGTACTGTCAACCTACACTTATAAGCTACAGAAGTTTATAGAACAAGTGAGAAATCAGGAAACCATTGTGATGATAAAATCATCAATTTATCAGCAAGCAGTGGCGCCCTGATGTTCATAGGCACAGTGAATGCCACATGCTGATCATTTGGTGACCTAGAATTCAGGATAGAGAATGAACGTGATTAGGAAAAAAAAGAGCAGCATGCCATAACATATTAAAACAGAGGATTGATGAAGAATAATGGGAAAATTACCATCCTACAAAATTAATCTTTGCATTATCCTTGTATCCATTCACCACTTCAGCAAATGGATATCGATCCCAGTATAAAAGGACATAAAGAGAAGAACGGGAAATGAAGTGTAGGAAAATTACAAGCATGTATTCTCATATACAAAATCATACAAATTTCATTACTTACATTCGACTCCTTGTATTAGAACTTGGATCAATCCGTACACCAGCAAGTATTTTATCTGGTTTAGCAAGCTCTGAGGATTTTTTTAGCTTCAACTGTAAACTAAATAATATATGACAAAATAGAATTATGGACCATTTGTTGCTTTAACAATATTTTTCAGCCAAATCTCACCAATGAACAATATCTTCCTGAAGTCCATGGTGGCCTCCAGCTGCATTGAGCTATGGTCTTAGAGAAGCTCCTGCACCATCACCGGTAAACCTCTCGATAAGCATGTATCATAGGCTGACAGAACACATCCAAATCTGCCAGACTGACACTTATATGAAACAATAAGTTTGCTATAAATCATTGAGCTTTGAGTTTGAAAGATGCCCCCCACACACACACCAAAAAATAAGAACAAGCACATGTGCACACATATATCTTGCAACAAACTGAATACATTCGTGAAAAAAACTTGCCACATCAAGCATGGGAGAAACTTAGTAATCCTTCAGCTAATAATTTCTAAATGTAGAATCACAAGCATACATCTTGGCACATCTTGCACACTCACAATATTGGTTATACCTTCTTTAAAACCTTATCCATAAGCCCTTAGCTTTGGAAAGAATGCATCTAACAAACTCCAAAAAATAAAGTGAGTGTACAACAAAATATATCCAATTAGAACCATGCTCCATAGACTATGGAAGCTTACTCCTAGGTAAAAGCAGTGAAAAAAATGCAGTAAGAGTTTGGGTTTCATAATAATGCAATTGATCAGAGATGCACATGATTTTTCAAAATGTCCAGGCATAAAAGGGTTGTGGTGAAGAGACCTTGGTAGTCTGGCTTACCCATGTTCATGTGCCTGTCTCCTAGCATCACAGCCTGCTTCTTCCTCTCGCAGCAGGTCTACCTCTCTCCTGGGGCTCGCCGGCGGCCAGAAAGGAGAGGGCAAGGCCGCGGCGGAGCTCGTGCCCACACTCGCGCGGCGGCGACGGAGCCCACGAGGTCGCGGCGGAGAACCCAAATAATCGGAGAAGCTATCTGAATGTCGTCAAAAAGTCAGAAACACAAGGTGTCACAATATAACCCTTAAATTAATTATCCAAAAATTGGCTGAAAGGAATAGCTCACCGTAATTTTAGTCTTTTCTAGTTCTGAGTCCCTTCCCTCCTCTCGTTTCTTTTGGATCTCCTGTGCAGTACATATGATTGCTAAGTTCATGACCAAACCCATGCGTAAGTCATAAGATGAGCACCATTATTCACCAAGAGAAATAAAAAGAAATGATGAACAGTGATCTTGGTCTATTAGCATAACTGAATCAAGATGAAAGCGAAAAAATATCAAAGAAGCAATTACAGATTTACACACCCAAGCCTTGAAAGAGACTTCTTAAGATGTCTTTCCTCCTTTGTGGAATTCTGCTAGTTCAAAGGTAATTCTGCTAGTTATCAATAATGGACAATCCCACCAGATTGAACGCATCGGCCTGCAAACAACCACCAATTGGCAGAATCCGTTCAGAGTCACGCACGACTGGGCAAGCTACTCGGTGTAATGGGGTTTAAACCTGTTGGTATACCTGAAAGGCCCTGTCGTTGAGGACGCCATCCACCGCGAACGGTGACTGAGTCTGGGGCGGTCCTGTGGATGAACCACAGATCCTTGCCGTCCACCGGCCGGCTCACCATTGGCCGCACCCTCACCACCACCTGCGCATCCCCACAAATCAGGAACAAGCTCGCAAGTCGCAAACCTCCCAAGATCTCAAATTGTCATGGTACAAAGCCGAATCGGGTGAAGCTATGCATGGCACGGTACCTTGACGGAGGGCTCGTCGTCGGTTGGTGCAGCGGTATCGGCCATGGAGTGATCCTCTCGGTGGTGGCCGCCAGCGGCGGAGCCACATCCGCTAGTTGATTTGAGTGTGGCGAGGATACCACGCACGATGTGGAACCGGCGGCATCGACGGAGGCAGCGAGACATTTCTTCTTTTTTTGCAGAAGAGAAGAAAATGAGGTCCCGGGTATGGGAATCGAACCCTCGCCGCCCGAGCGCCGTGCGGGTGCGGGGAGGAGCGTTTGAAGCCGGCGTCCGTGGGATGAAGGGCGCGGGGGGTGTGAAGCCTGGCATCACACATCAAAGAGCTGCGTCGGATGGGTTTGGGTGTTTTATTAGCCTTTGATTTTAATGAAGATAAAGTCTTGTGTGTATTTTTTTAGGTGTAAAATGGTTAGAGGCTCTCAGCGAGGAACGTTTTTTTGAGGGGATCTAGTATAATTTTGATTGGTCCATTATAGTAAAAATAAGCAGTAATCTACTCACTACTACCTTCACAAACAGACATAAATGCTTTCTAGAGGACGTCTTTATTAACGATTCTTAATAGAGACGGTCCTGCATACGCCACAAAAAATAGTGTTGCTAGCTAGTGTCGTCTCTGAATAATAATAATAATAATAATAATAATAATAATAATAATAATCATCATCATCATCATCATCATCATCATCATCATCATCATCATCATCATCATCATCATCATCATCATCATCATCATCATCATCATCTAGCTGACGCGACCAAAAATGACGTTTCCACTCTTGCCTCTAAAGATTAAAAAAATCTAGTTGGAGATCACCAAAAATGGTGTTTCCCCTCCCGCCTCTTAAAATCTAAAAAAATCTGGAACTTCTGCGGTTCCGGCTTCTGGCCTTGTTTGGTTCACCTTATGGTCGTGTTTGGTTCCGCGTTTGTGGCGCTTATATGCGAGACGCTAGAGAAAACCCTGCCGAACGTCATGTGATTTTCACGCGTTGGTCGGTCACCGAACCAAGAAGTGGGAAAATGAACTGCGGAGGCTAAAATCGCAAATTACCGGATTCAAGCCACGTTCGGTTTATCGCGGTCGCGATTTTGCCGGTCATCGTTCCAAACAGGATGTCCACCGCGCGGTGCGTTACGCCATTTGCGGTGGGAGAGCTGCGTTACCAAAAATCACGATCGCAGTTCAAGCCCCGCAGTACGTTGCCTGAGGCGGTGAAAAAATCACATGTATTTAGCACGATTATCGCGTGCTCACACAAGGAATCCGCTTTTAAGGGCAGTCCCAATGGTAGAAACTACACACGGTTTCCATAGTAGCCACATGAGCAAGAAACTATATGTAGAAACTACCCCTACCCCCACACAGTGGAGGGGTCTTCCTATAATAAATGTTGCTTTTTTCCTCTTTCTCTCTCCTAGCACCATCTTCTTCCCCGATCGGACTCCCCGAGCAAGAAGAAGCACAACAGGTGAGAGGAGGAGGGGACAGTGGAGGCCGCTAGGGCGAGCAACGCGAGCGGGCTCGACGGTGTGCGCGAGTAGGTCCGGCGGGCTTGGCCGAACGGGGCAGGCGCGGCCGGCGAGGGAGGTCGCGCAGTGGTGGGCAAGAGGGCTCACGCGGTGGCTGACGGGCGGGGGTGCGGGCAAGGACATGCTGCGACCGGTGAGCCAACGCAAGGAGGTTTCCAGTGGGCGGCCGTGCGCGGAACACAGGAAAGCTCCTAGCTATGCGGGTGAGTGCGCATCGCGGTCCCCACCTATAGAAACCGATGGTTTCCTCGCAACGCAGAAATTGCAGTTTCTTCCTCCCTCAGTTCAAGAGCCGATGTCGTTTCTCTAAGAGGAAACGGTTTCCTCAAATTTTTCTCTGTTTCCTCATTAATTAGGTTGTCATGTCAGCATTTTACTTAGGTGGCATCTCAATTAATAGAGATAGAGACCATCATTAATTCCACATTGGAACCGCCCTTAAGCGGTTCCAGGCCTCCTGCTATCACCACCACCACTCCTCCTGGACTACATTTCCTATTTTTTAAAACAAATAGGGAGTTAGGACTGACAATTAATTATTTTGAATAGGAAGGAGATTGCAGATGAATTCCCCAAAATAGAAGGGTCCTTTTGCAAAAGAGGCGCTGTTGCCGGGCACGTGTCTAATGTCAAGTGGTCCGTGGTCATGGACCAGGCGTGGACTGGGACGGTGGTCATGTTCTATGGCCTATGGTGGAGGTGGACCGACTATGATGCTTGAAATCTGGGAGCATCGGATGAAGATCAGACCTCTGAGAGAGTCCCTCGGAGGAGTCCGACCTCTGCACGGCTCGAGGAACAAGGAGGGACTGACCGGTGGATCCAGCATGGCAGCTAGATTTTTTTAGGGGAACATGGCAGCTAGTCAAGGTGAGCAACCCACGCATCACAGAGAGCAAGCGGGGTGATGGTGTGGGGCTGTTTTTCGCATGGGCCGAGGCGACAGTATGCACTGTTGGGCTGACCCGGGCGAGACAGAGTGGGCCACGAGCATCGGTGGGCCACGTTGGCTTGGTGGAGGGAGGGATTAGGGCCACTGCTACTGCTATATTCGGCCGCTGGCTGTCAACCTGGGCACAAAAAACCGAAAACCGAGAACCGAACCGAAATAACCGGAGCCGAAACCGAAGTAACCGAAACCGAAAATTTCGGTTCCATGTTCGGTTCCAGGTTTTCAGGAACCGAAATTAGTACGGTTAATTCGGTTCCAGAACTCGGTTAACCGAAATGACTTGAAATAACCGAACAGCTCTTCCTCTGCGCTCGTTGATGGGCCATCGAATACAGCCCAGGCAGCCCAAGGTAAACCCTAAGTCCTCACCATCACCGGTCACTCTCCTATCCTCACTCTGTCCTCACTACTCAGTCCTCACCTCACCGCCCCCGACCCCGTTCCCGTTCACAAGCCGATCCGCCACCATGGCCTTGCCCCTCCCTCCGGTCTCCAACCCCGCCCCCCCCGCCCCGCCCCGCCACGTCGATCCGCCCTCCCCTCCGGTCTCTGGCCTTCCCCAGTCCCCTCCGGCATCCGGTCCTCCCCCGTCCCCTCCCCTCCGCGACCTCGACAGGCGACAGGCCGACACGGCCAGCTCCCTCCACGACACAACAGGTGGTTATCGGCTAGGCGCAGCGCCGACAGCCAGCCCAAAGACCGGCCTTGGAGGCAAGACGCACCAGACCCACCCGGCCGCCGCCCTAAGCCACCGTCGCCACCGACCGACGCCGCCACTTCTTGTGATCTACTCCACAACGGCTACATCAATTGCATCCTGCAATGTAAGTGTTAAAGATCCGACTGTATTAGTGACTGATTTGTTGTGGGGATTTGTAGTTGATAACTTGACTGCATTTCTTCAGATGTCTGACGAGGACATGGACCAAGACTTGAGGGATTGGGAAGAGACCTATGGCGGGAGTGATGGGAATTTCAAGGATGATAGTGATGCAGAGAAGGATGGTGCTTGGTGTCACTCTTCGGTCTTGATGGTGACGCAGAGAAGGAGAAGGAGGTCATTGATGTAGAAGCTGAGGAGGAAAAGAAGAGAAAGCCGATGGCATCCAGATCTAGCATGTGGGATCACTTCACCAAAATCTATGATAAAGGTCAGTTGGTCAAGGGAAAATGCAACTATTGCAGCAATGAAATTGCAGCACATCCAGTGCTCAATGGTACATCTGCTATGCGTAAGCATTTTAACACTTGCAAGCGTAATCCTCATAGAGTTAGTGATGATGCAAAACAAGGTGTTTTGTCAGTAAGTCAAGGCACTAGTGTAGGTACTTGGAAGTTTGATCCTGAATTGCTTAGGTCTGCTTTTGCTGAAATGATCATAGAAGATGAGGAGCCATTTGGATATGGTGAGAAGCCTGGTTTTAGAAAGTTCATGTCTCTTGCTTGCCCTAGGTTCATTATCCCTTCTAGAAGGACATGTACTAGGGACACTGTGCGGTTGTACTTTGAGCAGAAAGCAAAACTTAAAATTTTCTTTCAAGAACAATGCAATAGAGTTTGCCTCACAACCGATGGTTGGACATCACAGCAACAAGATAATTACATGACTGTGACAACCCACTTTATAGACAAAGATTGGTGCCTGCATAAAAAGATAATTAGTTTTTTCAAGGTAAAAGGTAAAAAGGGGGATGATATTGGAAAACACCTGCATAAAGTATTGCTTGATTGGGGGTTGGACAAAGTAATGACAGTAACAGTAGATAATGCTAGTGCAAATGATAGTGGTGTTAGTTATTTGAGAAGACAAATGAATAGTGTGAAAACTAGCATAGCAGGGGGCAAATACCTTCACATGAGATGTCTTTGCACATATACTTAATTTGATTGTCCAAGATGGTTTGAAAGAAGTAGACCATCTATCAAGCGTGTGCAATGGGTGCGATTAGATTTGTTAGGAATGGTTCATCAAGATTGGCCAAATTTAAAGAGATTGCACAATGGGAGAAAGTGGACAACAAGGCATTCTTGAACCTTGATGTGTGCACTAGGTGGAACTCGACATATGATATGCTAAAAGCAGCTTGCACATATGAAAAGGTGTTTGCTAGGTATCCAGATGAAGATCCATACTATACAATTGAATTGCTTAGTGACATTAAGCCAGGTGTTCCCGGTCCAGGAGTTCCTGATGAGCATGATTGGGATAATGCAAGAAAACTAGCTGAGTTTCTAGGGCATTTTGCTGAAGTAACAAAACGTGTTTCAAAGATCATTAAGTGTGACCGCTCACACTTACTTTCATGAGATTGGAGAGGTCAATGAATTGGTGAATGAATGGATGAGTAGTTCAGATTCTCATCCAAACAAGAAATGGGGAGAAGAATGAAAGACAAGTATGACAAGTATTGGGGGAAGTGGCATGAACATTTAGAAATGCAAAATGACAAGGCAAAGGGAAAGGAGAAGGAGAAGGAAAATATTAACTTGCTGATTTTTGTTGCTGTTGTACTTGATCCTAGATACAAGCTTTCACAATGATATGTGAAATGGTAATCGAAGAGATGTATGGTGACGGTGTTGGATGAAAAGTTTGGGCTGCAATTACCAAATGCTTGCAAAACCTTTTTGAAGAATACAGAACAATAGTTCTCAAGTAATGTGCAGCCCCAACCAA